TTTGAATGGAGAAATGCAGCCTCATGAGCAAGTGTTTGATTCTGAGTAATGGGGAATGTTAAAGTTTTAGCTTTGTCAGGGGTTTGCACTGTAGGCCCTTATCTCAAATCCTACCCACAAGTCAGTCCCTCCATAGAGACTCATGACATCTACCAAATTACAATTCTCAGATAAATGATGCAACTCAGCTATGTATACTGCAGTCTCTTCACCTGGCAGCTGATTGTGTTGATTGAAATGCCTAACTGTTTGAGATGGAGTGGGTGAAGTAATTTTTAGTAGTGTGAGGATTTCATTGTATTACTTGTCATGAGGTTTGACCAGGGCCATGAGTGAGTGAACAATATCAAAATCCTGCGAGCTGAAGATAGTAATGCAGCATGTTTCTGACTAGCTTCAGTGATCTGATTGGTATCCAGGTAGAAGACCTGGATCCAGGTTGGCGTAGGAGTCCTAGGACGACTGCTTGGCCTCATCAAATGTTTCAGTGCCACCCAAGTTTGCATCATGGAAAGCAGCCACACTGAATGCACCCTGGGGGAACCCCCCCTGGCCTGGGCTCCCCAAGTGGTGCAGGACCCCTTCTCCCATGCAGTACTTGGTATTTAGAGCTCAGAATGAAGTGCAGGAAGCCTCACTTGTTGCCAGCTTAGTGCATTGCAGGAACTTGTTTGTCCCAGGAAGATTAGACAGAGAGCAACAGTTGCAACCACTTTTATTGTATTAATAAAGGGCTTAACTGAATGCTCTTCAAGTAAAACAGGCAGCAAGAGGAGACCAACACAACACGGAATAGCCCCACCAACTGGCAGTTCACATGCACTTATGCACACATACACAAAACACAGACATAATACCCAGTACACAACAACTATGAATAGTGATGAGTCTGGTGTGAACACAAGGGTTTGCCACACCTTGCCAATCTGTTGTCTGATACCTTCTATCATGAGGGGGCAAAGCTCCTTGCAGCACATGATGAATACAAATCTTACTTTTTCATTTTAAAAGTTTCTATCCCTTTGCACATGTAGCTCTCTGGTGTTTCCATTGCTCTATGAAAAGGAATGCTTGGTGTGTCTGTGTGGAGTAGCTCAGTGCAGTTAAATCCTTGAACACTGTGACCTGTGCTCTCCCAGTTTATTCCCAGGGGCCAGAGTTCAGATCCAAAGCCAGTTTTCCTTGAGGGCTGCTGTATCTGATTTGCCATTCAGTTCACTGTTAATCTCCTGCGCAAATGTATCTTCTAGCTGTTATGATGTTGAATCAAACTGAACCATGAAAGCCAGATCTCTTGCATTTTCTCTCAATTCAGACAGCTTTGCTCCTGGCAGTTCTCAATGATCACTGGAGGTACTTTTGCAAATCTACCTTTTTTAGAGATGTTCATTCACTAATGCAAATATTAAATTGTTTTATCTTCAATTTAGCCTTTAATGTGAACGGGTCACAAGTGACAAGAGGTTGGTTCCCTTTGTACTATAGGCTGTACTGTTTAGCCAAGCCTTTTAAAATGCATGTCTAAATATGTGCCCTGATCATTCAAATCAGAATCTACTTCTGTTGACTTTAAAAATGGAGTGGCTACAGTGCATAAACCCTTTTCAAAAGGTTAGCCACTCATTTTTACTTTTGTCTTGAAAATCTTGGCCTTTACTTCTAGTTTTGTGGAGGCTTCTTATGAGAGTTAACACTGTGTAGCATCATGAAAGCATGATTCAGATTGATTGATAAAATGAGATATTCTCTGTTTTTCCTTTTTTTTCCAGAACACAGCTGTGTCTACACAACGCTATTGTGCAGTAGTATTAGGCTACTGTGCAGCAGCATCACAAAAAAGGCATCCGCCAGTGCTACCACACAGTAACACAGCTTACTACACACTTATTTAGTGTTTGTACTAAATAAAATGTGCAGTAGCGTCTCGTGTAGGTGCAGCCACTGATGCCTATCCTTGCCAGACTGTATTCATTGGAGTAAAGACTAAAGATTGTGTAAAGAGTCTGCAATTAAATGGAAAGACTTTACTGGAGGAGAATAATTCAGCAGCACTAGCAGGCAAGCTGGAAAGTCAGGTAGCTGAGAATGATTGAGCCAAATTTCACCCACACAGCTCCAGTGAGGACACTGAATTAATTGTAAGCATTACAACAGAGGCATCAATTCTGACTGACAGCTAATGTTTGGACATGACACTGCTGCTTAGCAATTTGCGTGACAGCTTGAGAGTTCATTAATTCTTTCATGAGTGTGGCAAACCTCTCATTTTTTCCTCGAGTTCTCTGAAATTTAAAGGATTACTTATCAGTTCTATACTTGTAGTATAGCTTATAGACTCATTCTTTTTCATTTCCTTCATCAAGCCTATTTCCTGTATTTTCTGCTTCTAGCTTCCTTGTTAATTATTTGCACCCTAAATGAGAGTGCAACTATGCAAAAAACAACGGTAAAGAGAGTCCCTGCCAGTGTACAGTCTGATAGACGATTAGGAGGAGATGTACTTGGATAGCAGCACCCAATCTTCCAGTTTTGTGGGCTGACTGAGTGGCATGGGGTCAGTCCATGGACTAGATCCTGCATGGGGTTGGCACACAGGACTGGTCCATGGGTGCAGCCCTGTGCACCAGTTCTAGCTGTGCACCAGCCTAACCCTACAGAGGTACCGTCAATAATTCAGGGGCACGTTATCCAGCCTGTGAGGCTCTCCATAGATCCAGAAATTTGACAACAGAAAGCAGTGATTAACATTGCCACCACTCCCCCACCACAAAATTTCTGGACCTGTGGGGAGCCCCATGGGCCAGAAAACAGCTCCATGAGCCAGATCTGGCCTGCAGGCTGGACACGTGTTCCACTGCATTAGGAAATGTAGGGATGGGACAACTTAGTAGTTTTGTCCAGTAGCAAGGGCGAATTTTTCAAAAGTTTCTAAAGGTCAAGTTAGTATTGAAAAGAAGAGTTTAGCTCTGAAGTCAGGTAGATGCTTTAGAAAATGCTACCTTTAGTGTACATGGTGAAGACAGAAGTACAGCTCCTAGCTGTAACTCAGAAAGATTTCTGCAAAGCGCTCTGTTACAACCTTACCCCGAACCAAACACAGGTTCACTGTTGGCTCCAGGGGGGAGGAGAATCTAGCTGCAGGCTGGGAGCCTGAATTCCCTGTGCTCCCTTGCCCCCCTCCCATTCTGAAAACAGTGACAGGCTGGGAGCAGTGGCGTACCATGGGTCTCCAGTGCCTTAGGGCTAATGCCAACCACCCCCACCCCCTAAGTAGGGTAGGAAGGGACCTCACAAGTTCATCTTGTTGAGTCCCTACTCAAAGCTGGATGATCCATGACTAAACCATGCCAGTCAAGAGCCTGTTCAACCTGAAAACTCCCAAGAATGAGGATGCCACAATTTCTCCAGGTAGCCTGTTCCAGTGCATGACTACCCTCATAGTCAGAAAGATCCTCCTACTCTCCAATTTAACTCTGCTGCAGCTTGCAGCCATTGCAGCCATTGCTGTCCCCTACAACCACAGAGAAAATCCCATCTCCATCCTCTCTGTAATTGCCTCTCAGGTATTTGAACACTGTGATTATCAAACTCCCTCTCAGTCTTCTCTCGTCCAGACTAAATAACCCTAGGTGTTCCAGCCTTTTCTCATAAGTCATGCTTCTCCCTTGATTTGCAAGTGACACTCCTGTTAATACAACCCAATATGCTTGTGGCTTTTTTTTTTTTTTTTTGCAACAAGACCACACTGTTGGGTCATATTCAGTTTATGGTCTACTGCAGTGGTGCTCAAGATTTGTCCTGGTGTGCTGGATGGGTAGTGCCCAGTCCATCTGCAGGCCAAATCCAACCAATGATCCCGATTGGGCACCTGCAGTGGGCACACCAGGCACCATTCAGCCATGCAGAGGGGTGCAGGAGGGCAGTCCAGAACAACCCAGCCCTTCAGGGGAAGGGGGAGTAGCCTGGTGGCGGGGAAGGGGTGGCCCAGCTCCTGTCCAGGAGCCGGCAGAACAGGGGTGTGGCCTGGCCCCAACCCTGCTCCATGTGGGGAATAGGACATAGCTTGGCCCCAACAGGGGTGTGTTGGGCTTAGGATTTGGGAATTTGCTAATGGGGGGTGGTAGTCATATTAATGGCCACCACTCCCCCACTGCCAAATTTCCCAACCTGTGGGGAGTGATCCTCCAGAGGATCTACAACTCCACCCCACTTGATGTCATCTAAAATGTGCTAAACATGTTCTCAATTCCATCAACCAAATCATTAATGAAGATATTAAAAAATACTAGACCTAGGACAGACCCCTGGGGAACTCCACTTCATACCTTCTCCCAGCTAGAAATTCAGCCATTGATAACTATTTGTTGAATATGATGATCCAGTTATATATCCATGTTACAGTACTTTCATCTAGTCTGTATTTCCTTAGCTTTTTAATGATAATGTTGTGGGAGACAGCATCAAAAGCCTGCTGAAGTCAAAGTATATTACATCTGCTGCTCTCCCTCCATCCACAGAGTCAGTCACTTTATCATAAAAGGAAATCTGGTTGGTCAGGCGTGACACTGTCTTTCTTCCTGCCAGTCAGGGGTAGGGAGAGAGAACCTAATTACTAGGCCTGAGTTTGGGTTTAGGCTTAATAAGAATATGATACTTATCTAGACCAGAGACAGCCTCCTGCAGCAATGCCCTTGCCCTTGGGAATTGGAAGAGAACAGGATGAGGGAAGAATGGCACAAAGCCCAGGAGAAGTGGTAGGTTGCTGCCAACTAGTTCTGAGTCAGATTCTGGTCAAGGCTCATGTTCAGTGTTCGTTGCTCAGGTAAGACAGTTGCAAGGGTCAGAGACAGATGTAACATTTTTTGAGCACCTTAGGTCTTAAGTTTTTATTTGGAGGGGTATGGATCCTGTAGGCTTGGGTTTATTGCACTTTTATACATACCATGCCTTTCATCTCTTTGTAACATAAGCATGTATGCTGTCTTCTTTCCTGGGAACAGTGGAGTGAAGTGCAGCAGATGATAAATGGTACCGCAGCCTATATGTACCAGGATTGCAGTGTATTTTCTGAGGGTGACACTGATCACTGGCTTCGAACCAACTGGATTTACCGGGGCGAGGCAGCTTCTCTCATTTACGTGGAACTAAAGTTCACTGTGCGTGACTGCAAGAGTTTCAAAGGCAAAGCTGTGACCTGCAAAGAGACCTTCAATCTTTACTACATGGAGTCAGAGCAGGATGTTGGCATTCAGTTCCGTCGCCCACTGTTCACCAAGGTCAGTGATACTGGAAGGTAGAGCTATCCCTGATGGGTCTTGATGAATGGCAGACTTCCATGGAAATCCAGGTTCATGTAGGCTGTAAAGTGGGTGGGTGACTCCACAAGAAATGCTCATTCCCAAGAGTCAGAACTCATGCCAATGCCCCAGCTTCATATTCAGGGCATTTTTTGCTATGGGAGCTGCCAATTTTGAAATGAGAGGTCCTAAGTACACATGATGATAGTGATTGGTCATTTTTCCAACATTTTTTCAGTGTTTCAACAAGTGTGTCAGTATCGATTTACTCATTTTACTAACAGTTAAATCAAGGCTGGGTTTTTGTTTTGTTTTGTTGCTCAGAAGAGCAAACATCACTTCTTCTGATGCTGGAGGCAACAGCACCAAAGTCTCAATCGGATACTCATGTTTGCAACTACATTCTACCTCCCTAAATTTATCTTGCACTTCTGGTTGATTATGATACTTCCCTTCCCTTCCCTTCCCTTCCCCTAGAGAAAAAGCTGAATTCCAAAAGATGGAGTCTCAACTTTCATATGGAGTCTCCTGTAATACATTTTATAACAAGTATATGTTATGTATAATATATACTATAACAAGTCACAGACTCAAATTCCTTGGCAATCTTTCCCTCTACATTTTCGCTGACATACCAAGATACATTCTTCAACACTTTGAACATTTCTGCAATAGCTTTTAGTGACCTCAAACCCAGAGAGTTGCAGTGATTTACCAGGACAATTTTAAAACATGCAACTGGTATATAAAATGCTTTGGATGATCTGTTTTGATATTAAAGTCATGCCTTCCCAAGCTGACACAACTTTTTATTGGGCACGTCTACACATCACCCTACATCACCATAAAAATGTGCTACAGCAACATAGTGATCACGTGCATCTACACATCACCGGCAGCTACTTCACCGTGGCGGTGCGCTCCCCTGTTTTAGCGTACCACTATGGTGAAGTGATGGCTAAAAATAACTGTGCATCATGCATACAGTGCAGTATGGGTGGTTACTGCACCATGCTTTAGTACTTAAAGCACGGCACAGTAACAGCGTCACTGTAGGGCAACATGTAGACATGCCCATCGTGTCCCTGAGTTTTCTCTTAACAGTTCAAGAGGCTGGTGGGAGAACTGGAGATAGAACCTAAGTCACTTTAATTTCAGTCTAGTGCTCTGTCTTGTCCACTAACCCAGGTTGCCTAGATCTCTTATTTACTCCCATCTTAAGATGCGAAAAAAATCTTTTTTTTTTTGTACACCCACTTCTGTGCAACCATATCTCCATAAACTAGCTTCCCCTGTATACAGGTTCAATATCTGAACATTAAGCACCAGAGGTCGATCCAGGATTTTGTGAAGGGGGTTGCGGGAACAGCAATCAATGCTGCAGGGGTGGCTACACCCCACCACTCCCAGCTTCCTCCCTCCCCTGGGGTGGGCAGACCACCCAAAGGGAGTGGCAGGCAGGAACCTTTTTAAGACCAAAGCAAACAAGTCATTCACCCAGCTTCCCCATCAAGGTTAGCTCTGAGTTCAGGTTTCCAGTTAGTTTATTTTACCTGGAGCACCATTGTCCTCACAGCAAACAAACACTGACACAGACACAGACAGATGTGCAGACACACACATGCAGACATACAAACACAGACATGCAGGCACACACAGACACAGGTACACACACCCCAGCAAGTAAGTGTGTGGGGGGGGGAAAGGGAAGGGGCTGGGGGAGAGCCAGTTCAAGAATTGTGGGGAGAATGAAAGGGAGCGGGTACATGCAGGTAGGCAGGCAGGCGAGGATGGAGTGCACCTGGGGGCACGGCGGCTGTGCCTCCGTTGGCACCTTCCCATATTTTCCTTCTTTCCCAGGGGAGAGGGAGGGGTGCACCAGGCGCCACCGGCCCCTCGCGTCACACCGCGCACCTCCCCAGCCCCAACCTCAACTTGCTGTCTGTGCCCACTCCCAGGAGCAGGGCTGGGGAGGGCGAGGGCAGCAG